TCCAACCCCGCAGTCTACCAGCCCTCCCAGCTAACTCTCAGTTACATCCTGGGCATGACGTGCTGTGGTATGGAATACCTCTTTGGTCACTTTGGGTCAAGTGTCCTGTCTCTGCTTCCTCCCGACTTCCCCTCCTCCCTGGCAGAGCATGAGGCTCACAAAGTCCTTGGCCAAACCAAAACATCCTTGTTATCAGCTCTGTTCCTCTGCGGGGCTCTGCTCCTCCGCGGGGCTCGGCTCCTCCGCCGCCTTCTCCCGCTGCTCAGCAGCCGCCTCCTTCCGCTCCTCGACCGCCCCGACCTCCTCCACAGGCAGCCGTCCCCTCGCAGCCTCCGGCCCCGCTCCCGCCGCCGCTTGGTCCCCGGGGCCGCTCTCCCGGGCCGCTTCAGCATCCGCCGGCTCCCGGGGCCGCTCCCCCTCGGCTCCCCACGGCCTCACGAAGACGGAGGCGAGGACGAGGGCCAGGACGGTGAAGGGCAGCCGGACGGCCAGGTACAAGTCCACGGCCACGTCCGTCCCGCCCTGCTGCTGGAGCCCGCCCGTGTTACAAGTCATTGCCATAAAGTACAGTGAGACAAGAACCTTAGCCCAAGCCCCACACTTGATAAACACACAGCAAATACCGGCTCTAAGTAAGGTACAATATACTGAAACTGTGAGATCAACAACTTTGAGAGCCAATAAATCAGCATTGTGACGAGTGACTATTAATCCGGTCAGATCTGTCCTTATCTCAACCCTTCGCGCCCCACGTTGGGCGCCAAAAAGAACTGTCGTGGTTTAAACCCAGTCAGACAGCTTGTTCACTCACTAACACTTCCCCCCCCCCCCCCATCTTCTTTCCCTCCCCCTACTCCCGGAGGGACGGAGAGGAGAATCGAAAAGAATGCAACTCCCACGGGTTGAGATAAGAACAGTTTAGTAACTAAGGTATAACACAAACCACTACTGCTACCACCAATAATAATAATGACAAAGGGAATAACAAGGGAAGAGAATACATCATCTCACCACCAGCCAACTGATAACTCGCCCCCCACCAGCCCGACCAAGCTCTGACCCATACTTCCTCCAGCCCTGCAGTCCCCTAGCCCTTTCAGCTAACTCCCAGTTACATCCTGGGCATGACGTGCTGTGGTATGGAATACCTCTTTGGTCACTTTGGGTCAGCTTCCTCCCCGGCTTCCTCTCCTCCCTGGCAGAGCATGAGGCTCACAAAGTCCTTGGCCAAACCAAAACATCATTGTTATTAGCTCTGTTCCCGAGCTGAAAGTCAAAACACAGCATTGCACCAGCTACCAAGAAGGAGAAAAATGACTGCTACTGCTGAACCCAGGACACAGCTGTAAGAGCCTAAAGATACAGAGGAGCAGTACATATGTGTGTTAGGCATGCATGTGTAAACTTGCTGAATCTGCTGGGTAAATGTTTTAGCAAGTTACACCTTTTGATTGCAGGCATACATAAATAGGTATAACCACAGTATGAAGCTACATGTAGCAGATGACTAGAGAAGATGCCTAGAGAATAAAGATACGTAAGTCTGTTGTTCTTCCCTAGTGTAGTTCCCCAGGGTCTTGCTTTCTTCTGGGGGTTGGAACTTGATGATCTTAAGGTCCTTTCCAGCCCTAACTATTCTGTGATTCTATGATTCTCTAATAGTCCCTGTTGATTTTACTTGTAACACTTCTTTAACAGTAGTTACAGGCTGTGGAATAGAAGCTTTCCAATACCTGCAAGAAACCTGGAGAGGGGTCTTGGGCAAGGGTCTGTAGGGACAGAACAAGGGGAAATGGCTTTAACCTGACAGAGGAGAGACTGAGATGAGCTCTTAGGCAGAAGTTCTTCCCTGTGAGGGTGGTGAGGCCCTGGCACAGGTTGCCCAGAGAAGCTGTGGCTGCCCCATCCCTGGCAGTACTCAAGGCCAGGTTGGATGGGGCTTGGAGCAACTTGGTTTAGTGGAAGGTGTCCCTGCCTGTGGCAGCGGGTTGGAACTGGATGAGCTTTAAGGTCCTTTCCAATCCAAACCAGGCTGTGATTCTAAGAAGCTGTGCCACAGTTCAATTATGTGTTATATGGGGCACTGTGGCCTTTAAGGTGGCTCTGAACAAACCTGCTATCATTCCTTGTCTCCTCCTGGCAATACTGCTCACTATTGATTTTCTCCATGCTACTTACAGTTTGCCACATCTCTGTCCTTCCAAGATGAAGAGACTTAGTCTGTTTAATAATGTTCAAAGGACGTTCTTCCATGCTTGTGGCTATCTTGCTGCTTCACTCTGTATATCTGCTGTTTGAGATAAGGCAGGACCAGATCTGCACCCACCCAGAACTCAAAATGAAGAAATGCACTGGCATTATGCACTGACATGTTAACAACTTACACTCTGCTGTTTATCCCTTGACCACTAATCAGCTCGGGGTTTACTGTCATTATGCTTTTTTTCATCTGAAAAATTACATAGAACTCCAACATCATCTTCTTGAATGCTAATAAATCATAACAGTGCTCAGAGGTGCTGATTACTGAAACAAACTCCTCAGAAACAAGTGTGAGGCGTGATCATTTATGGCAGGAGGGTACCATCTCTTCAAGGTGTTTTAATTGCTTAGGTGTTTCATTTAGTATTGACTGTTTGGGCTTAAAGCAGCATTTAATTAAAGAAAAATTACTTTCAGCTACAGAAATAGCTCTTTTGTAGTGGTAAGTCAGACGTACAGCTTTTGTCCTTTGTCCTCTCTGCTCTTTCCAAGTTTCTTGACTCCAACTTAGGCTACAAAACCAAAGAGTGACAAAAAATGTATTTTTCCCCATAAGAAACTTGCCATGGATTCACAGCAAAATTTGCTCTTAGGATGTTGTATTTCATGCAGGTCACATTTGTGGGTGCTGACAAAGCTTCCCTCACTTTCTCGTAACTTTATTTCCCCAAACCCCTTTTTCTGATCTAACACATTTAGTTAATTTCCTAAAACTGGATCTTGAATTTTGAGGGAAGGTAGATTTCTGGTTTGCCTGAATTAACCTCTGAAGGAGATGAGTTTTACTTCAAGTGGGAATGAAATCATGTAGGAATTAGAAATAAAATTTAATTCTTATTTTCCTGCTGTAAGTAAATGGCATAATCCTACCTTCTTCATCTGTGTTTGGTGGTTTGCATCACATAACTTTATCCATTTCACGTAGCTGTGTGCAGATACGTGTACTGGGGCTATATAATGATTCTTCTGGTAAACAATGTTTCTTGTTCTAAACCTGCATTTAAATGTTATCTTTGAAATACATCTTAGTAGGGAAAATAAAATAGGGATGAAGAGAATTTTCCAGTAGTTTTGCAGCAAGAATTGCTGCAGTTCTGCATTGCTTATCATCTTGCTTGGTATAAAATAAAAGTAAAAATCAACAGATATATTGCAGGCATGTGCAAGGAATCAAATGAAAATACCCCTTTCCCAACTGCATATTGTACCTTGGGGGATGCCACTCTGTAATTTTAATAATGAGTTTACTGCCTTTTATTGTATGCTATATTACCACAGATGAAACCCAAATTCAGGCACAATCATCTTAGCCCAAGCTCCAGCTGATTTATGTAATAAACACTGTACTTGGGCAACAAACATGTTTTCCTGTGGTAAATACAATTTTTCCTTAGGCTCATAACACTTGTTTCTGTGGTCAGCCTGTCTGCAATTTTCTCTGTCTTAACTCCTGGGTGCTTCAGTGCTCCAGCCTCTGTGTTAGCGTGATGGCAGACAAGAAGGAAAATTTATCACTTGTTGAAAAGCATCACTTGCGGAGGATACATGCTTTGTTCAAGATGCCAAATTGATTGCACTTGAAGAAGCTCTTAAAATTCAAAGAAATTGTGCAGCATAGAGACCAAAAAGCCACAATTTTCAAAAAGCCATCAAATTCAGTTTTTACAAGTGAGAAGTGAATTAGCTGACATTTGAAGAGAATGAAAATTTCCCGTAACAGCCTGAAAATATCCAAGGGAATAATCTGAGCATTTTGCCAAAAGGGGTTGACGTGGCCTTTGAGTGGAGAAAAATCTGGTGTTGTTTTAACACAGGCAGAAGTTCAGGATCTTAGTTATCTATTGGCTAACACCTACTAGTGGAAATAAGATCCTAACATGCACTATACTGTGCTAGGGATTTTTAATTTGGTTACAAACCAGTGCCCTTAATTCATATGCTTACTTTTGTTTGACAGAAGAAGATTGCATCCTTGAGAATCACTAACTTTACAAGGCCTTCTACAGTTGCATCCAAGCTGCATTCATAAATGATACAAAAAAATACACGTAACTTTAATTATTAATGTTATTTTGTTGGAAACAATAACAGGATCTCCTGGGATTAATTCAACATGATGCAAATGCCAAGTAAAAAGACATTTGATTTTTTAAATATTAATGATTTAGATGTAACTTTTAGAGTGGAGCCCTGGGTGTTGGTAGAACAGCAGATAAAGCTTTGAGCCAAAGGCTAAACCTGTACCAGGACTGAGCATACCACACTCATACCTGGCTCTGAGGTCCCTAGCATGCAATGAAATCCCGAGGCCTTGAGAAAGGCAAGTGCTTTTAGCAGCATCAGTTGTGTGCCCAAATAGTCAGGGGATGTAGTTATAGGACAAGGGGTAATGCCTTTAAACATAAAATGGGATATTTAGGTTAGATATAAGGAAGAAGTTCTTTAGTGTGAGAGTGAGGCACTGGCACGGGTTGCCCAAGGAAGCTGTGGCTGCCTCATCCCTGGCAGTGTTCAAGGCCAGAGTTGATGGGGACTGGAGCAACCTGGTCTAGTGGAAGGTGTCCCTGCCATGGCAGGAGGTTGGAACTGGATGAGCTTTAAGGTCCCTTCCAACCCAAACTGTTCAATGATTCTGTGACCAAAATTTGGCGTGGAGAGGTGCCTGGGAACATCAGGTGTGTACCACATTTGTTCCTTAAGCCACACAATCTTAAATCTTCTTGCTTCTTGTCTTTCAGGTGTTCCAGGGAAATTTTGACAACGACACACACCGTAAGAACGTCATCGACCCTCCAATCTATGCCCGGCACATCCGCATCCTTCCGTGGTCATGGTACGGCAGGATCACCCTGCGGTCAGAGCTGCTGGGCTGCACAGCAGAGGACTGAGGCAGACCTCCGCGTCTCTCGGTGTAGCTCAAGTCCCTTCGCAGAAGGAACTCTGCAAAGCCTGTAGGATGCTGAGTGGGTTTTTCATGAACAAGTGCTCATTTTATGGTAGGCCGCTAACTGTCTTTCGCAAGGAGGTCTAAGCCTGCTCTTTAAATGATCCAATCCAATTTTGTCCTTGAAATACGTCAGTGTTGTCCCTTCTGCTGTGGAATTATCTTTCTAGTTCTCCTTTGAGTTGTTCTGACTAGTTGAAGCGTGTTAAGGGAAAACAGCAGCATCTTTTTTACAAGGGGAGAGAAATAGCATGACAAAGCTCATTTGCAGCTTTAGAAACATTGGGCTGAGTTCTCCATAAATCATACTGTCATCTTACTTGCAAAAAGTGATACTGCAGCTTTTAGCAATAAGTTTACTTGGGGATGACTGCATTATAGTAATTGTGCCTATCAAACACTGTCAGTATTTATGACATATATTTGGAAGGCATTCTGTGGTACTGTAAAACATAGTACCTGTGATATATTACAAGCTACCTTTCATCACTTGCATCTGAACAGAGTCTATGTACCTAAAGGATTTTCCTAACTAACCCCCTGTTTCGTCTCTGTTTTGCATGCTATAGACATGACCTCCATCTTTTCTGTTTTGTAACACCACTGATATTATTTTTCCTTGAAAGAGGTGAACTGTTTGCATATGGAAAAAATAATCTGCTTATCAGTATATTATGAAGTTAACAAATTTGCCAAAGTTTATTAATTCTGCTTGAGATGCATTTTTTGAAGGAAGCTGAAATGAGACACCAGAGTACTAGTGGTATCTCATCTGAAGTACCCACATAGGTAAAGGCACACAGAACACCAGAAATCCCGAGCCTGTTTCCTGACTTGCCCAGCACACAATGATAGACAGACCTGCTTGCCCAATTACTTTTTTCAGAAACCTCCTCAGTTTCTGTGAGGAGGTGAACATGAAGGAAGCAGGAGCTAAAAGACACAGAGGTGGAATAACACTCTTACTGCCAGGAAGGCCTCTCTGAGGGTTCTTATGGAGGTGCCCACAGCCTTCCTCCTAGGCATGAAGGCAAGAGGTGCCGTAGGAGTTCATCAAAGCTGGGCACTCGTCACTCTTCACTCCTAACTACATCTCTTAATACATCTGCCAGTGAGCCACAAAAGGGTTAATTTTTACCACGTCTCATCTACAGAAATGCTTTATACATGCTATGTGTTTGGCTATGTGTTTATGCTAGCCAGCTTAAGAAGTAGGTTTTAGGAGTAAAGTGGAGCAGTAAAGAGGACATTCCCCCACACGTCTCAGTTTCCCCTGATGATGGCAATAACACTATGCACCTTTGCAGAGCACTCCAAGTTCCTTTTAAGTAAACTGCTCTGTGACTATGTTAGAGTAGCGCCCAAGTCTAAAAAAATCCCAGGACAAGGAATGAGGAGACACTTTATCTGTTACCTGAAATAACAGCATTTGGGATTACTGCCACCCTTTTGATTTCATAACATGCTGATGTAGGGAGAAAGAGAGAGAGAAATATACAGCTGCATGTTTTAGTGAATGTTGCTGAACTTATTCTTTGTTACTTTTCCATTCTCACCAAAATACTGAAGCATGAACCTGGGCACTGCTTCCCAGGCAAACAACTAGTTGGCCCCCAGTCTGCAAAGGGCAGAATTTACTTTGGAAACAAAATGGTTTGGATTTCAAAAACCTGCATTTAATTGCACATTCTCCACCACAGGCAAAATATATTATCCATTGAACTGTGAAAGACTCTAGAATAGCAGCCAGGAATTTTACATACAAGAATTGGGGATATATTGGTGGCGGTTTTCTGATAGTGCCACTTAAACTGTCACATTTTAAGAAACAGAACACCCTGCCTCTATAAAATGATTTAATCCTTAAACTGTATTTATACAAGTATTTATTTTATAAGGCTTAGACATTTAAAGACTTATAAAGAAGAGTCATGTAAAGGTAAAAGTATGTGTAAGAAATGTTGAGGTCCTGTGCAACACTGCAAAGTTTGTTCTTTATTTTTTACTTTGTGCTGCTTAACAAAAGCCACTAGACTGTTACTGTCTTGTCTGTAACCGTGTTAACAGCATTCATTAATGATGTATATATGGAGTGGTCTTCAAGCATAGTGAGCGATTTTAAAGAGAAAGTCAATCATGGTGGTACTTCTAAAGGGAAAAAAAAAAGAAATGAATAATGGAGGACAAGTGTATTCCTAAATCACCTTACTGCCCAAGTTTTGCACTTTAGGCTCTACAAAAGAAAAGATAAATAACAAATAAAATTAAATTTAAAAAAAAAGTAATATTTATATCTTCAGGGCACACACAATATTTAAAGAGGTCAAAAAAAATTTTCCTGTTATGGAAGAACAACTGACTCTGAATTTAATTACAGATATGAAGAATAGCATTTTGGTTTTGAATTAATCTTTGTTGGTTTAGTAATTTAATTGTTTTTCATTCATCTGCATATAAAAATAGCGATGTCATGATACCTAACATAGTAATTTTAGTTTTTATTAATTTAGTGTTGAGTGTTTTCATTATTATATCCTGTGTCAACTTTCATCTGCCATCAGTCTTCACAACCTGCAGAGAAAGCTCCATACATTGTGATAGCACTGATAATTTACAGAATAATCACACATGTGATGCCCCTATAATGTCAACCAGCATAGTGGGGCTTTTTCTAAATGAAATTATTCCTTAGCTTTCAAGAAGCTAAGGAATAATTTCCAAGAAGCTTTCATTAAATGGCATTGTGCAGCCATAACAGCAAAGTTTGCTCCCAGTGTCAGCAGTATAAGTCTGAAATAACTCTTGATTTCTGTGGAGTACTTCAAACTTAACAAAACAGATGAAAATCAGATTATGGTCTAGAATGAAAACCTTTTCCCTTTAATTTTATTTTCTTTTCCTGGTGAACACCACTGACATCTGGGACAAGTTATAAGCTAACACAACTGTACTCTGCCAGTGAAAGCAACTGGCATCCCAAAACCAGAATAAGTGCAGGACAGGATATGTCCCTTTAGGAGGGGGTAGAGAAACACTGAAATGATCCTTGACTTCTGTATTAATTGTAACAATGGCATTGAACAAGACTGAAAATGTTCTTCTTATTAAATTTCACCTTGAACCACTTAAGTATCTGTAGGCAAACTTCACCTTTCTGTAGCTCTGTAATGTGCTATGTTTATAGGTTGGGAAATAAAGCACTGGCACAAGGTGTCATTTTATCTGCGTTCTGTTAAGGGCTTATCACGTTAAACTGGCTCTGGTTTTGAGGTTGACTTTCTCTTTTGGAATGGCTGCATACAAATTAGTGTGAGGTTTCAAGACTAAGGATACTAAGTGAGTGTATCTTTGCTGTACAACAAATATGATCTGTAGTATTCAGTGCTGACTTCTGATGTGTCAGTAAGTACAGAAGTATCTGAGACACCCTTGCAGCCCTTCAAGCTGTGTTATATTCAAATGGGTTTGTATATACTTAAATCATGTAGAATGATGTAAAACCAGTATGACCTTGTCTAGTCTTCAAACTTAACAATAAAACTTTTGAAAAATGAGGTAATTTTTGAAGCACTTATATTTCAGTACCTTAAAGGAGACACCACTTAGCCTCACTGGCAGCAAATGAGGAGCAGAGATATGATGCGGCATTTTCAGGGATGCATTCACGGCATCTTTGTGGTAGGTAAGTTTGTTTCTGGCAGTGTCAAGTTTCCCTTCAGTGTGTCCTCTTCCTTCTTTCAGATAAAAAACGCAAAGGTTTCAATGAGTCTGAAAATATTTTTTTCTATCTTGGTGCTGTCTATCTGAGCACCGGAAATGTAAACTGATGCTTTCATTTCCTTTAAGTCAAATTTCTTGGGATGTTTATCAATCTTTATCCTCTCTTCTCCAGTCCTGCATAGGCAAATTAATTTCCAAGAAGATAAACAGCAGCTGCAGTGCAAACCTCTTATAAGGCTTCCAGCAGAGATGCCAAAGCAGGGCCAGTGCATGCTCACTCCCTTGCATCTGCTTGATTTGCTGTAGAGACCACTCCCCAAAATTTCTTAGTTTCATTAATTGCCTCATTTCAATTTCCAAAGAAGCCTGGAGGTTAAAGTAGTGCATGGAAAAGCTGTAGATCCCCTCTCTAAGCAATGAGAGTTTAAAAAATTTTTATGTAGTTATGAGAGATGGAGCTTCAGATTTTTACTCCTTACTGACCCAGAATAATGATTTCATATCCCATTTCAGCTTTCATCCTTTCACCAAAAATTGTCTTTAGAGATAAAAAGCATCCGATGGTGATGGGTACCTTTGCCAAATACACAATGTGAACACAAACAGCATATTGTCACAGAATTGGCTTGGTTCAAGTTGCAATTTTTTTCTGATTACATATCTCTACCAGTCTTAAAAATCAGAATACAACGATGTGCACAAAAAGGGGATTACGTTTGCTGGATGATGGCAGAATGCTAGTGCTTTAGTCATTAATTTCTGAAAATATGCATCTTGAATCTTTCTGACTTTTAATTACAAATTGCAACTCTTTCGTGAAACACAGGGCCTGTTCCTGAAAGAATGGAAAGTGATTTTTCCTCTCATTCTTCATTATATAGGTACCCAGGAATTCTAATGAAGACAATGAGAGAAATATTGAGTAATTCTCTTCAGAATAGCAACTATTTATCATTGTCCATCCTCCCATACATGTTTCTAATGAGCTCAGTGGATTAACATGCATATCAACACTACATCCTTATGAAATAAGTAGTCTCTGATATTTCTATGACACTTACTTTGTACCTTAGATTGAAATAACAGGAGGTTAATCTCTTCACTCAGTGATCACTATGTGACCAGTGATAAATAAGTGACCTGTGGTCACTTAGCTTCATAAAATGAAATTGGAAAAAATATAAGATAATTCTACTGAGGCAAACTTATTTTCTAAATTTGCATCATTTTCTTAAGAGAGAATTACACTTTAGGATGCGAAAGACTGCTTTAAATTAAGAATATAAAGCATGAGGTAAACATATGAGGAATGTGTTGAATAGCTTTATAACTCCATTTATTGCAGATTATCTTTCAATGATACATCAGTATCAGAATTTGGGGAGCTGTAAATATATACGTGTAAATGCATCTGAACATAAGAACATGGAAACATCTTGCTCTCACAATTTAGCTATCTAAGGGGGCAGCAAAATTTATTTTACCAGTATACATTAGTAAGAATACCAGTTGTGTTTTGTTGTAGTGTATATCAATTTAGAAGGAGGCTCCACATATATGGGAATGTATGGTAAGCACAGGTAATCTAGTGAAATACATGTGGGGCACAAGAAACAGAACAGTCATAACACGGTCTGTTCATCACCATAATTTTTCTGATGCTGCTTTCTTGCTGGTTTACAAGTTAACGCATTTTGGTTATTTGAGGTTGCACATCAGATGGTAGGTCAGTAAGCACATTTCTAATAGCCACGACTAGATGAAGGATGTCAGCCCTCAAAAGATGGTAGGAAAGGTCACTAGTCATTTGCATCAGACTGGAAAATCAAAAGCAGACTAAATAAACATCTTGAAATATATTGGTTTTCTGGGATGCTGTGAGAGGTCAGCAGGTGCCATACAGAAATGTATTGCCTTGACCACAAGAAATACAATTAAGTACACAGAGTGTTGGGCATAAAATATACATGCAATCCACTCATGCAGGATAAAAGGCCCCATAAAAAGTGATACAGCATGTTCTCATGAAATTATCAGACACTGTGATGTGGATGCTATGGACCAATGCACTACAGACTTTTGTACTAAGTCTGGCTGGGATGGATTTACCTGGCAATGGGCCATTGCTTGGAAACTGCAAGGGCATCTGTCTGCTTGTGGGAAGTGGTGACTGACTGCCTTTGCATCACTTCATGGCTTTGGTTTGGTTTTTATTCTCTCTCTTTCCTTCACTCATTAAACTGTTTTTATCTCAGCCCACTAGCTTTTCACTTTTGATCTTTCTATTCTGTACCCTGTCCTGGTGAAATACTGAGCTAGCAGCCGTGTGGAGCTTAGCTGGTGTTTGCCATCACCACAACACAATTTTAAATGAAAAACATAAATCATGTCTGGGATCTAGAATTATTCATCGAATTGTACAGAAAAAAAATAGATTTTCTGAATCTTCATTCTTCACATTTTACTTCTGTTCTATTTTTCTCTGGAATGCCATT